GTTTCAATGAATTCAGTCAGAATTTCAATTTCATGGATAATGCCAATGGTCCATCCAAGGTATGCTTGTGCTAGCTAAACAATAGCGTCCTTGAATTGTCTATATCTAAGTCAAGGCTGTTTATTGTATTTTAGTGCCTCCAATTGTCATTGGTTGCTCTGTGGAGTCTTTATCCGTCTAATTTTTGGATTATAATTATGGGTATATTTAATAATTGATAAACCTAGACACTGCTCTCTTTTACGTGCATATGCAATTGCTCACTTGTGAACATGATTTGGCAAATCTCACATCACTCGTGAATGTATTTTGTCCTATTATACGACACTACAGGAAAATATAGGTTCTTATTAGTGTGTAGAGAAATCATCCAAGAACATCTAGATTTTGTTCTCATGAATGTGTTTTAAATGAAGGAATTTTGTGGCCATGGTTTTGGTAGCAGAGGTGGAATGGGGCTGTGAGGAACTGTGGATATGCTATGGATTGATTAAAGAGCTTGTTCTTGTGAATTGCTTTCCTAGAGCTTTGTTCTGAGAGGGTCAGAGAAATGATATAACCTGAAATGCTTCAATTGAGCAATATGGGATTATTACTCTGGGGAGTTGGTGATGAGATGTAACCTTGAGTTCTGTTTTTCATTTCTCTCTTATTTGCAAGCCTTTCTATCTGTGAAACACTGGACCTTTGAGAACAATGGGTCTTCAGTTATTAGAGCCTGTGGGACGGTGGAGAAAGCAAACAGCATAGTTAGCATGAATTTGGTTTAAGAAAGGGGGCTAGGTGGAGGAGCACATGGAAGCTAATGAGGAGTTCTAGAAGTTAGTTAGGCTGAAGGTTAATTATAGCTAGTCAGAGTGTGGGACAGTGAGAATAGGTGTGTGGGGCTAGTCTATTCTAAGTTGGGATGTTTTCTTTCTTCTCTCTTAGTGGTTTTATCTTCGTTTTGATAGAGAAGTACTAAGTAGAGATGCCTGGTCCTATTGGATAATTGCATTGTAATTTAACAGAAAACAAGTTCTTCAAGGGACTTGTGCGTAGTAAGTCAGATTCAAAGAACCTATCAGCAATTAATTTCTTTACCTGGGACTCATCTGTAATTTTCCCATAATGAAACTGGTTGGAGGGGATAATGACTCGCTGCTACAGCCTTGTAGAATGTAAATATGAATAATAAACGGTTGTCCCATACAAAGCCATATATTAATGCCTTCAAATTGCTTTATCATGACTGGAATAATGAATGCGGAAAAGGTAGTCTATTGGCTGTATCCGATATATGGTTAATATCTTCTCCGTATGACTGCATTTGCATACAATTGTATATTTTGCACATTTTACTTATTGTATTAACTTCAGGCACATTGTACAAGGCATGCCTCTGGTCTCCTATATTAAAATATATGTAAAAGTGTCCATGTGTGTTTATTCAAACGTGTTCTGAAATTTTAGATCAATGTGTTGTAACTCTCCATCCTAGTTGGGCATTTGGAGAGTTATCGTTTGTGATGTGTCCTTATATTGATAGTTAACAATGCGTCTGTGATTTCACTTCTCACCTTCTGTTTTCCTAATGAGCTTTTGCAGGCTGAAAGCAGCAAGTTTGGGGATTCGGATTCTTCTGTATTAAGATCTAGTGAAGAGGAAATGGATTATGATGATCACTTGGGGTTTGTTCCGGATTCGTCTTGGACGGTTCCTCAGATCCCTTCCCCTCCTACGGCTTCAGGCTTATATTGGCCAAAAGATCCTCGATATTCATCGACTAATAATGCTATGTTTGTTCCTGACATATGTTCTCCTCACATCCAACAGCCTCTTTATGCTCAGAGAAATAGTACGTTATCAAAGCGGCGAAGGCGACAGTAATGTCTTTTCCTTAGAGACCATTACTGCGGTGTCTTAGGTTTTCTGCTCTTTTATTGTGTGTTATCCTGGGATGCAAGCTTTATAAGCTGTCTTAGGTTAGAGAAGTTTAACTTCAGCAGCTGCAAGTTTATGTTCAGGGTTGTCTTGAGTTTCTTATGAGTGTGCACCATTAACTCTACATTTCGCATTGGGGACTAGCCAAAGAAAGCAGCATTAATAAAGGGAGTGTAAAGTACTTTTGTTGCTGCAACATTCTCCCTTCAGTAGAAGAATCCCCTAGAGATTTATTTATTTGGCTATGGTAGTGATTTTTTTCCCAATATTGGCCTTATGTTAGTTTAGTTGTCCTTCGCAGAAAAGGTTCGAGTTATTTGGTTTCTTTGGGCAGTCTTTTTTTTTTTGGCCTTAAATCTCGTGAAAATATTAGCTTTCTAGTTCTGTTTAATTAGTAGCCCCTTACGCTGATAAACTTTGAGATATAGCTGCATTGTTTTTATCAGAATAGAATGATGAGATATGCATTTTAAAATTTTCCGTGGCCACTTTGCACACTTGTTGATGAATATATTTAAGAAATTTATAATTTATGAAACTAGCTAAAATTCAAATGTTAGGCCCGCCGTTTGATGAGTGTATTCTTCTAGAAGCATCCAGATTGTTTGAGAGAAAAATCAAGAGTTTGATCGAAGTACAAGTCTTCAATATTCTTATCTCAAGCCACAAAATCCATGCCTTTGCATGTTATTGTCTGACTAATAATACCTAAAGGCCAAAAATATCTTCAACAGTATGAAATGGGAAGAACTGGACCATGAACTGTCTCCATCTTCTCCACAAATTCTCAAGAGCCGGACGTGTGACTGAGAATGCGACACAGCAAGGGGGTCAGTGTGGGGTTTTACGTTATGCTGCTTGTGGCCCTTTCTGAGCCGCAAGTTGAGTCGGAAAATATGATTGTGGGTGGAGTCACTTGTTATTAGTTTAGAATCAGATTCACGTCTGGGGTTGACTTAGCGCCACACCATCCGCAAAAAAGTTGTCTTTTTTCCCAGACAAAATCTCAGTGAAGCCGGTGAGAAATGGGTCAATTTTCAATGGAGCTTTCACTCAGTTCCCCTTGTCGCTCCAGCAAGTTCCGTATCTGGTAAAGGCAATTCTTAATTTTATTTTTTGTTAGGATTTTTCTATGAGCTGTCCATGTCTTGTAATGATTTATTTGAATAAACGTCCCCCAATTTAATTATTGTTGAATAATTCTTAAGGACATCCTTTTATATTCAAAATGAGTGACTTTAATGTCTCAAAAAAAAAAAAAGTGACTCTAATGAAATCTTTTTTTATACTTCCGATAATTACAATCTATAGTGAAAAAAAGTTTAGCTGTATGGGTTTCAAAAGCTCATCAGGACTATTAAATTTAAAAGCACTTATAGAGTCATTCACAACTAGTCCATCACATCATATAAGAGGTAAACTCATGATCTTGTCATTTATGACTAATTCATATATAATTATGTGTGCGACATTTAAGTCATGTACGCTAATCATACTCTTATGATTCTATTTATAAAGTAGGGAGATGAGACATTTTTTGGTTCTATTTAGAGGGTATTAAGAGAAATTTTTTGCATCGATGCACAATTTCACCCTTCATTTATTATTGTGTTCACGTTATTTATATGAGGTATAATGTATATTAAATAAGGATAAAGTTAGAAATTTATTGAATTTTAAATGAGAATTAATTAAGTTTAAGGTTTTTCTTAACCTATATAAAACATGTTAAAAATAATTTATAAATAAGACCAGAAAAAATTATGTTATAAAACTAGGTACTATAAACCCGAGCGTGCCTGGAATGCACTGAGTAAGCATGATCCACACTCGTTAATGAAATTGGGCTTTTGGGTTTTCATGTGTTTGGTCCATTCCGTTAGGGATGGTGTCAATCACATCCAACACCTTCGTATGCATATTTCCCCATTAAAGAAAGGCGCGCCAAGGTGTCTAGTGAAAACATACTCTTTTCATTTTGACATTAGATCTATTATTTATGACACACATATATACTTCCTCAAATACTCCGATTCTAATTATAAAAGCTAGTAAAAAAATTGATTTGATCCTAAATACTCTTCTGGTCCTAAATATAAGACCCACTTATATTTAGGACCGGAGGAGTATAATATTCCAGTCAAATTTGTCTCTCAAATTTGTTATTTTCTAGACTATCTCTTGTTAATTAACTGCACATATATATCCACAAGAACATATAGTATCCTGTAAATCATTCATTTAAAAGGTAACCAACGCATTGACAAATAACTAAGATAACTAGTAAATTTTTAATTTTTACAAATTAATTACTCCTCCAGTCTTATATTTAGGACCGGAGGAGTATTTAATTCTTATGTTAAGAAGAAATACTATTTATAAATCTTAGTATTATGAGGTAAAGCCTAAATTCTTAAAAAGTTATAAATATGGATCCAAACGAATCTGAAAAGTTCACAAACTCAGATTACATCGGGAATTATCATAGCATTTCAATAATTACTCGTCTTGTTTCTTTCCTCCTTCTTTATCTTCATCCTCCTCCTCTTCTTCTTCATTACTCCCATCACTAGAACCTTTCAAAGCTTCTTCAAGTATGAGCTCCAAGAGCTTCTCATACATAGCAATTGCAGACTCCAGCATATTAATGGCTCTCCTCTTATCTTCTTCCACCACTCTCAGCACTTCTCCAACCTCCATTATCTTCTTCATTGACCTAACCACTTCTTCTTCAACAGCTCTGATGAAGTCAACCTATTACTGCAACCACCACCATTATCACTACTCTTCCCTTTACCTCTATATTCAGTAATCCCACTAGCCACTATCATATCACTGATACTTCCTTCCATTAATCCATTACTGTTATCTTTTATCACCATTGTTACTTCTTCTGTGTCAATCTCCCACATCCACACGCTACCATCTTCACCTGCAGACACCAGATTCCTCCCTTCATTCACCACAACCACTGATTCAGTGGACCCCACGTGGCTTTTATTCCATTTCTTCATCAGTTCTTGATCATCATCAGCTTTGTTGTTTTATTCTGTGGTTTCTGTGTTTTTTGGCCTTATTCATTGATGCTTTGTAAACCGACCCGTCTGATCCTGCAGCGAACAAGTGTGAGTCTGATGATGAAAGTCTATGGCCATGGCCAGACCATTTATGGCACAAGGGAAGGTCACTGTGCGAAGGAGGGTTCCCTCTAGAAGATTCCAGAACTTGCAGGTTGAATCTAGCGAGGACGAGACAAGCATGGAGTTGCATAGCCCTATTCCTGTGCTCAAAGCTGTGACTGAATCTGAATGTGCCTTCTTCCAATGCTGCAGAATCAAGTCTTTTGAGCTTGAGTTTGAGTCTGATGATTCTACGATTTGAAAAGTTGGGATCACCATAATGCTTCCAGCATCACTGCCTGAAATCACAAAGTACCATATATGTTAACCAAAGTTAATAATATATATATATATATATATATATCAAACATATATACCTGAAATTACCAATGACCCATCAATACTGAGTTGGAGACAAGAGATGGGTTTTGTGTGAGCAGGAAAAGACTTGACCATATTCCCAGAAGGAACAGAGAAGCAATGGATGGTTCCGGACTGGCCTCCGGCGAAGATATAGCCGCCGTCGGGAGTAGCAGCAAGTGGGGCAACAAACTCAGGCACGGAGAATCTGTGAAGCACACTTGAAGTGTGCCAGTTGTAGAGGTGAATGGACACAGCGGCCGTGTCGGGTGACACATGAGACGCGGCAATGAAGCTATTTCCGGCCACAGTGAGGCCCCGGCGGGGTGACCGTGTGCCTGGAAAGCGAGTGACTTCAACCCCAGTGGAGGCATCGTAGGCGATGATGGGGCCATCTGGAGAACTGGTAAGGACAAGTTCGTAGGAAGAAGATGACATATTGTAGTTGTGTGAGTGAGGATTACGGAATGAGAAGGAACAATGCTAATATACTAATATGGTAAGGAAACGTGAGGAGCATGTGTGGGATTTTTGACTAATGTCATTAGTATTGCGGATCTCTAGGGACATAATGAGGACTAGAGAATGAAAAACACATGTAATATAAAATTATAAAAATTTTCGAGATCAAATATATAGTACTGGTCAATAACATACCGTGAAGAATGTGACCGGTGAAAGATTGCAAATTATGCTATATACTCCTCCTCCTCCATATCTAAAAGGGTGTTTCCAGAAGTGCTTTTAAAAAGTATTTTTCATAAATCGAGACAAACTCTTTCATATATTTGCTTCGTAGAACGTAAAATCACTTTTGAAACCATAGCTTGGTTGTAACCCAACACACCCCTAAATATAAAATTTTTTTATAGTGTAAAGTACATTACAAAAAGGGTCTTATATTTAGGACCGTATGAGTATTATTTTTTTTAGTCAATATCTTAAAAAAAGCAGCTAACTTTATTTTTAGAAAAATAACTGGTTTTTTTTTTTTTGGGCCTGAACGAGGTACCAGAAATTTGGTTAAGGATACGAGTGAAATTTATATTCTGCACAGCGGAAGATGAGTGGCATCTGCTCAAAGATCTATACTTTTTAAGTACTTTGAACAATAAATTTTACAATGAAAGATTTTTTTAGCGATTTTCTTCAATTTTAACATCTTTCCATTTATAATAATAAATGTCGACTACCACATATATAATTTATTTAGAAACACTTTTCTCAACTGGCTTTTTTTATTATTTATATATATTGTCTTTTTATAAAAACAGTCAATGGATGCATACGTATAGAGAGATATGGAGAAAAAGATATGAAGAGGATGCAAATCTACCGTTTACTAGGATGCAAGTATGTATATTTCAGTCTTGGCTTATCTTAACGATGTTTCTTTGCAAATCCTCCTTAGATTAGACTGGAAGTTCCTTTTCAATTTAAAATATCAACTTCTTTCATGCATATTATATTTTTTGTTTATATAACTTAAATACATGTATACGCATAAACATATCAATACTAAACTCAAATCTAAAACCTCATTTAAGTATGACGGATAGTGTTATCATTGTAGCAGTTTGTAATTGATAAATTCTTTCATATTTACATAAGTATAGACAGAAAACTCTACAAGTAATTTGGCAAGTCTCTCCAAGTATGTTTACATGTAGATAAAAATGAGTGGCACTTTGTGTTTTGCAAACAAGCAGTTTTTGTAGATTTTAGATATATATATATATATATATATTTTTTATAGAAGAGTTTAGGAGAGTTGAGTCCAAAAGACTCATAAGGATTAGGGCATGTCTCAAGCTCGAAAAGTACTTACAGAAATACTTACAGATCGCTCACCAATAAAGTTTTCATATCGATAATGGGATTTGAACTTACAACCTTATGGGTTATACACCGACTCCTTATCAACTGGACCAAGTTTTGTTGGCAATTTTTATATTTTGTAGGGGATGTTGATATATAACCAATGGGTTTCGGTATTGGAATTTTTTTTTGTTGGTTAAATTAAAATGCATATATTCTGCGATAAGATGTACTACTCATCTCATGAATAATATACTATCTCCCTTCCTTCATAAAATTTAGTTTGTAATTCAATTTGAACTACAAACTAGATTTTATATGAAAGACTAGAGGTAGTAACTTATGATAAACCTTATAGGATTGGTTATATGAGTATAAATAAGAGTACATATATAAGTTTTTTTATTTGAGTTGTACTTTGGCAAGATTGACAGGGTCTTTAGTACATGATAAAATGGACAAAATTAATTAATAAAACAATAACTCAAAAGGATAGAGATTAACAAGGAATAATGATTATAATGGTTAAAAAAAAGATTGTCGTTATTACTTGGCAACAACCTATTATATACATCGTGGATGGCATGAAAGAGCACTCACATAGGTAATAACGAGCCATGCCAACCTTTGTATTAGCTGTCACTGAAGTCCAAGGGACAACATGATCAGGCTTTTCCTTAACTTTCTCTTGCTATTGATATGCTTAAACCAGTTAAACTTCTGATGTAATTATATATTTGGAAAAACCAATAATCATTCTGTTGGTTAATAACATCCCTTGAAGAATGTGATTGATTCTTGGGCTGCGTTTCTTTCTCACTAAACATGCCCTTCACTGTGTGTGAGATCCAATCCAACTAGGTGCCAGAAAATAAAGATCGGACACTTTCAAAACTCTCCTAGTATGACACAAACAAGGTGAATAAAGTATGACTGATAAGCATGATACCAAGAATACAACAATCGATTACATGGATTGTATGGTGTCATTGTGTTCCATCAATAACTAAACATAAAGATTCAAACAAGTAGAATATGGATTTAATAGCATTTTTTAAGGGATCCCATTTCATGAAATTTAGTACTTGATTTTCCCATGAAAACAAGACTTGGGAGTTAACATTTCATGACATCTGGTACTTGATTATTAGGAATCGGGTGTGAAGAAGTTGAACCAAACAGACTCTAAATGAAATGAATCTCAACCAGTTGAATATCCAATGGAAACTGCTATATTTATTAACATTAACCTGACAATAAGAAAATTTACATCTACAACAGGATGAACCCAATAGTTATTTTGCTATCATAGCACTGTCATTCTTTGTCATAATGTGGTCAATGAAACCTCGTAACAAACAAAATACCCAGTTTAACCAGGAAAAATGGCTATGGTTGTCCGCATTGAGCTTGCACAAGATCTCAGAAACATGAACTCCCTGGAGTGTTTGCATTTGTTTTTCAGCTTTATATGGCAAGTGTATCCATCCACACTGATCTATTGCCATAAAACAAATGGGATGATTGATCTCCTTCTAAAGCTAGCAGCGAAATTAAATATTCAACTTCTGGAGTGCTAGCTGAAATAAGATTGCCATGAAGCTGCCAATCGATATGTTGATGACATTGACCACATCATTGGTAAGCTGCAGAACAGGATAGAATAAACATACAGGACCAGATATACAAGTCAAACTATTGAATTAAATCCAGCCTACTTTTCATTTTCCAACATGATGAATAAATAAAAGAGAAATGGGTCTGAAAATATGATTTGCACCAGAGCAATGGTATCATAAAATATATCGATATCACCTGAACTTGCCATGTTTCACGATGAAATTTTATTTTTGTGATTTTGGTTTTGGTTGGGATTTGAACTCAAAATCCTTAAGCCCTAGAAACAAAACTCCAGAGATACTGAGTAAAGCTCATTGATAGGCTCACATTTGATTATTTTAGTACTTCTTACAACCCTACCTTCAGGTTCCCGCTTTAAAAGCACAAGACCTAAAAGAGGCAGGATAGGAACATAAGGCAATCCTGAAGGTATCATAACATGAATAATTTTATGAACATACCCATTGAAATCCTTTCTTTCCTTGAAGTGCAGCACCTACGAAGCTCTCGCTGAGATTAGCAATCTGAGAAGCTAGAACACATATAGCTGCTTCATGTGTATTGATCTGTTTCATGAAAAAGCATTTACAAGTCATTAGCACATCCCAAATAGATTAATACATGTCATGCAATCCACTCTTCTTAACTCCCCACACCATTAATGCGCATCAAATTTCTCTCACTATTTTTTGAGACCAAAAATGGCATTAGTGCACATCTATTCTGGGCATAGCCGATAAAGTCATAGACTTGAGGGATACATAGGGATCAGATAACAGAAAACAATATTGGTTTCCATGATTTTATATTTATATGTTATTCAGAAGTCCATTCAGCGAGAGAGAGGATAAGGAAAAGTATCTACATATGTGCACTAAAATAGAATGCCAAATCTCGAGGAAGAGGCCTCTTAATTTTCATTTTTTGGTTCTTCCGGATATTTTGTTAATTAAAGCATAGCTGGGGAAGCAACATACTAGAACAGGCTCAGGCTGAGCTTCAATTACTACCCCTGAGCTCATCCCATATTTTATCTAATTCAATAATATATGATATGACATCACCTGGAAAAATTAATCTGCCTGCATTATGAGATGCACGCAGCAAATGTAGTTCAGTCATGTGTTAAAAGATTTTCAAACAAAAATTACATTTTAGCCTTCAACATGCATTAATCTCATCTGCGGATTCTAACCCACTTTAAACTAAAGAAAAAGTGCTGCAACCAGCTGCCGAGTGCTGGCAGCTCTTCTGGCCAGAACTTTGACATGTTTCAATTAGTTATATCATAAGCCAGGTGATTTTGAGTATACATAATGTCCCATTAGGTTGCTGAAAGGAAATGCATTCCCTTGCAAGAGAATCAAGACAAACAATGTTTATCATACCCTTATTATCATTACTAAACAACTATTTTTCTATTACTTTTTCCCTACGATAACTAACAAATTAGGAAGCCCAATACATGATTTGGATGAATCCTACCATGACTTCCTGTTTGTCCAAGTACCAAATGATAAATCAAAACCCTGGCATTAGATGCTAAAAATGTTGCCCAAATGTCCATCCAACATGTAAGGCACGCTTGTCCTTTTTTGCACTAGTTAAATGCTAAACAGTTTCCAGGATTACAGGTTAGAAGGTTTCCAGAATTCCTATCAAGAAACAACACATGCAAAGTTAGAAATTTGAGAAATACCTTACCCAAGAGACAACTGAGAAAGGCAAGAACTATAGATGCTAGAATCCCTGCTGAAGTTCCTTCAACACTCACAGCCCCTTCTGTTCCTCTCGGAACTATCTTAAATGTTGTGACTAGATACCTGGACATTATGCAGCACACATGTTACAACTGAATTTCATAGGAAACATGGACCAAAGAACACTGGGAAGAAAGTGAAACATAAACTACCAGGTTTGAATAACTCATGTAATCAGGCCAATAGTAATTCTGTATATCAAGCAAAATATACATGTAATTAAGAGCAATCAACATCATC